ACAAAAAGCAATACTTTTGAGCTGGGTTATGCTTATGCAAAGATCATTTTTCGTGGTCACAAAGGGAATAGCATCAAGTGAAATGAAGTTCACAATGAAAGAGTAATGGTATACCTAGATGAGATCAAATAGATCACAAGTACTAAAACAACATGGAACTTCTAATATCTAGTCGGTTGAAGAGAGATATGCATAACAATTAGTTCCCAAAATGGATCATGCTCAACTCGTACCTAAATAAAAGCCAATAATATATGCAAGTTCGACTTTTAAACTTTGACAGTCCGCCCAAAGTCCAAAGACATGAAACATTAATAGGCACTCCTATTCGACCTTTTGTGTCATTTTTTCCACACACGTATATGTCAATTAAAAATGATTATCCATTTCATTCGCTAGGTCCATAGAAGAAAGCTACAACCATCATAACTTTATAAAAAAATAAAAATAAAATAAAATACACAATTCGTTATAGTTTTGATACTCTTTGCCTGAATTGGAAAGAAGATTATTGGCCCAAGGAGTAATATGGAGTCTTGATATGGACAAAGGTTCTTTCTCCAGCCCAAACAATTGCTTATATTGGCAAATAATCCTGCTATGCTATTCGGGCCCAAAAAACTCCACATGTCAGCAAATAGTCCAGTCCTGCTTGTCAGCCTCCAACAACTTAAGTGCACATCAAAATATTTTTTATTTTACAAAACTACCATTTAAAATTGTGCCATGCTAATTGTACAATCGAAATTAACAACCAGTCACATAGGGGGTCCATTTTTTCTTTTCGAATTTTTAAGCATGCGAACCCCACACACATGTGAGAGGTTGATATAATTTTCCATTAAAAATAGACTCTCCAAAAGAACCGACCAATTTGCCTTAAGGCCCTATTTGGTCCAAATTATTTTTTTTTATTTTCATTCATTTACACATTTTTCAATAAAATAATATTTTCTATCACATCAATAATTTTTCCTTATTTTTTAACCACATATTCCCCATTACATCAACAGTAAAAATGTATTCTTACCTTCAAAATGTGCACCAAACTGAACTAAATTTGATTGTTTTTGTATCTTTTCTGGTTCCATGTCGGGCCGTTCACAAGACATTGATAATTTGATACATGAATCTCCTACTTTTTGGAGGTGACCAAGGCAAACAGTCCCTAAACCTCGAATAAAGCGATGCAGAAGATATTGCGATAATTTCTCTTTTTTCGAACCCTAGCTCTTCATTGATTCCCGTTCTGTTCCGAACCACAGACTCGGAGTTATCCGAGCCTCAGGCTTGGATACCCTAAACCCCCAGACCTCTCATACCGTACTTTTAAAACACCATCTCTCCATGTTCCTTTTCCATAAGCAGAAAGCGAAAAAAAAGTAATTCTCTAAAGCACCAAACTGATTGCCGATCGACGGCGAGTAAGATAGGAGATTGAAAGCAGCAATGGAGGATCACGCCGGCGAGCACGAGAAGAATCAGGAAACGGAATCAGTGATTGAGAAGATAACGGAAAAGCTTCACGGCCACGATTCGTCGTCAGATTCTGAAGATGAGAAGGGAATCAAGTCGAAGGCCGATGCCGTCAAGGCCAAGATCTACCGACTATTCGGCCGTGAAAAGCCTGTGCACAAGGTTCTAGGTGGTGGAAAATGTAAGCACTGAAACTAAATATATAATTCCGCGTAGACATGCAAACACAACGTTTTTTTTTAAATTAATTATGGTTCATGTTCGATTGCATAGCAATGCACATATTCAACGCATTGCATTGTGATTTAGGCGGTGAAAAACGTACGGATTAGGACTATATACGATCTAATTGTAGATCTATGCAAACACAGCATTATTTCTATTTAATTAGTGTATAAGTCTGATGGAAGTAACAATGTGTATATACTATATATTGCATCGTGTTTTTGTGCTTGGATATTGGAACTTAGAAATTATTGAATGGATATGCATTTATGTACTAATGGTTATGTATATTGGTATTGGTGGTTATTTTGATCAAATCATGATCAGTTTCTGATGTTGGCTATTTGGCGTAGCCCTTGCTTGATGCCCATTATTGTGTAAAAATGATGTTTTGAATAGTGATTTTGTTTTTCTTTCTTTCTTTTTTTTTTTTGGAGAATTTGTTGTTAACAGTGGAGAAAAGTTTTGAATTTACGTGTAAAATATTTTAGTGAATCAAATATTGGCTTAAAATGATTTGACTTGATTACAATTTGTTCCTTTTTTTTATGCATAAACTAAGAAACTGCAGTATAGATGGTTAATTTAAGCAATCATTCTTGGTATACATTGTGGTGTACACCATTGTTTACACTTTGCCACATGGCATTATCCAATTGGACAGTTTAAAAATAATAATTTTTTCATCCATTATTTGTTGACAACAATGCAAATGTCAACAATGGTGTAAAAAATCAGTGTACAAATGGCATAATCCTAATTTAGAGTGAAGCCCGTCATTACCAGGTAAATGACCTGGCATATGTATCTTTGTACAACTAGCTTAATTCATCTTTTTTCTTATAATTATATTTCCCTGGCAGCTGCTGACATTTTCCTGTGGAGGGACAAGAAAATTTCCGCTGGTGTGCTGGGTGTTGCAACAACAATTTGGGTGCTTTTTGAGTTACTAGAATACCACTTACTCACACTAGTATCCCATGCTCTAATTCTTGCTCTGGCCATCCTTTTCCTGTGGTCAAATGTTTCCACCTTCATCAAGAAGTATGCTTTTTTATGAACCTAACAATTCTTTTTTGATTGTAAGTTTTTTATTTGGAATCTGATCTTGCTGTTGAACGTATTAGGGCTCCGCCTAAAATCCCAGAAGTCATCATTCCTGAGGATATTGTCCTGGGTGTAGCTTCTGCCCTTAGAATTGAACTCAACAGAGCTCTTGCAATCCTCCGAGATATTGCACATGGCGGAGATCTAAAGAAATTCCTAGCTGTATGTAAATCTTCCCATTCATAGACGAACAAGTTTGGTGGATTACTAATCTACCGATAAAAGACTTTTTAAAGTTTAAAATTTGCTATTGTCGTGACTCATTCTGGAATCTCATATGAGAATATCGCATACTGCATGTCAGGTGGTCGCCGGTCTTTGGGTATTTTCAGTTTTAGGGAGTTGCTGCAACTTCCTGACCTTGTTCTACATATGTAAGTAGCTTTTTAACTTTATGTTTACCCCATAAAAGCTCATGTAACTTGTTCTGGCATAATGAGCACGATCATTGGCTTGTTCTGGTGTCGAAAAACAGGTTTCGTCTTGCTTCACACAGTGCCTGTACTTTACGAGAAATATGAGGATAAGGTTGATGCTTTTGCTGAGAAGGCCGAGGCAGAATTCAAGAAGCAATACGCCGTGTTCTATGTCAAGGTTCTTAGTAAAATTCCCAAAGGTCCCCAGAAAGACAATAAGATGGCATAGAGACACCGAGGTGGGATTACTAGGTTTACATTGACACATGGGTAGCTCTACTCTATTTCTTTTGCAGCTTTGTATTTTTTACTCCAGCTTATCGAACAGAGCCCATGTCGACTAATTTGCTTTTGACAACTTTTGGGTTCGTAATTTAAAAAGAATATGATAATTCATGAGGTAGTTTCAATTTTATGTTGACCCAATTTTCTATACTGCTGATGAATTAGTAACTAACTCCGTTCTGAATTACTACACTTTTTTTTTTTTTTTTCCTTTTTTATCTCTACAATTATAAACTGAAAACATGTTCGGCTAAGCCCAAAAGGTATTGAGTATTAGCAAACAATTATTAAAATAAATAATTTGTAGATTGAAATAGACAACTTTTTTTAGTCGAAAAAATACATTCAAATGTATTTGAAAAAAAAAAAATTTATTTTATATTTTCTTCGTGAACTCCTGTTTGTTAAGAGGAAAATGTCTTTGCAGTGCTATTAAAACCGGATCGGATATGACGGTTCAATAAGTGCGACATGGGCAGATATTTGGTCCGGTTGTTTCTTAAAAGCCGTGGCTCGGTGGCTGTAAAAACTGGTGACCGTAGCCAGTTCCAATGAGTTTTCCTATCGGTTTTGACCCAAAAAAAAAAAAAAAAGTACGGAAGAATATGCCATTGTCTGTTTATCTAGCCTCTCATTTGCCAAATCCTCAATGATAATAAAAAATCCAAAAGAAAAACAGAGGTGATGACAAAAAAAAAAAAAAAAGGGAAGAAGCTACAATGTAAAGTGCAGAGTTGCAGTCTGCAAGATTAATCTACAAATCTAGAGCTTCCTGCGGCGGCTTCCTTCTCCACTAGGATTTGGTGGTGGGTGAACAGTTATGTAGGGGATCGTTTGGGCTTTTTAAATTTGCTTTACATGTTGTCCATTTATTTGGGCCCATTTAATTTTTACTTTATGTTAAACGAGTATTCAAATAATTAATTATTATTAAATGAGTCTTAAATATTCTGTTACTTTTAAAATGTAAATCATTAAGTTATAAAAATGAGCATGCATGAATATACGAATTATTTATTTATTATTTTAATTTTCTCTTCAACCCGATTTGATCCTTCTTTCTCGAGTAGATTTTTAAAACATTGATGATATTAGAGCAATTCCATCATCTAAAAACTGAAATGAGCTATCGAATTTTCGGATTGATATTCTCAAACAGAGTCAACATCTTGGATGGACATGTTAAGAGATACATAGAACATAATCAACATATAAGAACTTCAGATATTCCTCTTAAAAAGAAACCTCCGTCTAGCAACATGTGGAGTTTGATGTAAACTTTATACTATGTATGAAAAACATTGTCCATACAATTTATTGATAAATCAAGAGTACAGTGCCCAGGATTAAAGGAAAAGGGTAATTTCGATTTACACGTCAAGTAAATTTTCTCACATTTTTCCCTTTGCTGAAATGTGAGGCTCTTCGATGTTCAAGGACCTCAATCAGGTTCCAGAATATGTGAAACGGCACCTCAAATGCTGGAGTCTATCAGCAAATCTGCCTAGGATATGCCCACAGCTTGGAGATGGACCCGTCGTTGGAGTCACTGTCACTATCTGAAGAAGAATCCGATGGCACAGACTCGCCTAAGACATACTCAACAATCTAGTAAAGGCATAAACAGAATTTTCAGTACAACTTAATTATACTATTAGTACAGTTTGGAAACCAAAGCTTCTTCCTACAGTCACTCCAACTTCAGCAGAATGAAATAAAAGCAAAGAATGATGTGTACAGCTACCTGTTCTGTTGAAAGAGGCTCGACTCGATGTTCACTACTACCCATCACGGAGTGCTCATTTGAACACTTGCCACTGCTAAGCCAAACTACAGAACAGCAATTCCTACAGTACCCTCTATAAGATTTGAATTTCTTGGAAGCAGCTGCAATCAAAGAGGATATTATTGTTAAGTTGGGGGAAAATAGATTCATGACATATTTAATTGTGGATATTTTATCCCACACAAACATCAGTAGTACCAATATATGCTACCCAAATATTATATTTCAACCATAAATTGTTTTTTGACAGATTGAATTTATGAACAAAAGTATATTAGATCATTACAAGATTGATGGGAGTGTGCATAGCTTTTGAATCTTCATCATCTCTATGACATGTAACAATCAGCAGAGATGGATGCCACAAGGATCTAGGGAGGTCAACCATCCTGAGTAATTAAAAATACCAAGATGATACTTCAACATCACGGGGCTCCACCATATATAGCAACAAACTATGCAGAAATGAATCCTATCATATATGTTTGCCAAAATTTATGCATTTGGCTTCTGCACTAATATGAATAGATATTTTTGATAAAGTTGGTTTTCCACAACTTCTTTCTATAGACTATAGTTCACGTCATCAATTTTTTTATAAACTGTGACTTGTTGCCTCCATTTGAAATATTTTTATTTATCATTGATCGACATTTTTGGTGATACTTCTGGTATGCCACTTTGACAAATAAATAAAAGTATCTTACAGACATCAATCTGAAAATGTTAGGTTTATCGGCAAAAAATTCATTGTTACCTTTGTATGCTCTTTTAAAAGTCTCTCTCCAGTCAATATTATTCCCAATAAAAACATCCTCTTCTGTATGCTTATTTTCTTTATTCTTGATGATTGCACGACTGCTACGAGCATTATGAATTGAGAAATTTTCAGAATTCCCAAAGAAAATAACATGTAACAACTGCCACAAATGGTTGTCATTTGCTGCTGCATTCCATAACCTGTAAACATATATGTGCACTGTTAAGAAAAGGCTGATCCAGCTTTACAATGTTTAGGTGGGTGACATGCTCATGATTTGAATGAGACACAGAAGTCACAACAGAACAAACAACTTGCTGGCCCTGTGAATTCAAGTCATAAGCAAAAAGAACACACAGAAGAGGAAAGTACCGGCAGACTGCTGCAGCAGAAACCAAAGACTGAAAGTTTAAGAAACTAAAGATATGTACAAGAACATCCTGTGGAAGTGAAGTTAAACCTGAAACACAACAATTGAACTAGTAAATCAGTTGCCAGAATATCAAACCAATTTGAATTTATGTCTTAAGAACACAAAATACCAAAAAATGGCCCACTCTAGTACAATGCCATAAAAAGTTTTGCATATTGTATTTTGTAATAAGATAGGCTTAGTCTTTTCAATAAGCCAAAACAACAAAAGATGTTCTTCTGAGTTTTACTCCATTACTCTTTGGACGAAAGAGAAAGAACTTTGAGTTAAAATAAGTGGGATATCTTTTTCAAATTTGAAATATTTCATTCAAAATTTTCATTTCACTCCAAATTCATTTTCGTAATACAGCCAAGCATATGCATTCCACATGCACACATTATTTTGGGACGATTAATTAATATTTAATTGTTTAAGCATTTGATGAAATTCTTCTAATGGTGGATAACTAAATTTTCTACATTATTTGGATGCCTCGGGATGTAATTTTTCCTGATGATGGATTATCGAAGGCTACTATAGAACTCAGATTATGATAGATCAATTCTCTAATTCTAACAACTAATACAAACAGTCCAAAATAGCTTATTCCAAGAATTACTTTTCTAGTCAATTCGGTTAATTGTATCTTCAAATGCAACAAACACCACCTGAATCCCAAAGCTATAAAATTTAGACAGGAAAATAAGCAATATCACATTACATATCACTAAGCTTTTATATTTCCTCCTCCACACTACGTTAATTAACATCATTTATCGTGAAGACACATTAATTTATACCCACCATTAAAAAAAATCTTAAAAAAATAAAAAAAAAGAAGTAGAGGGAAATACCCTCTCCGTCCTGCTGCCATTTGGGCCTCCTTTTGTATGCCACAACAGCATGCTTGTATTCTGTGACTGCCAAACCTCTTTTTTGCTTAGGTAAAACAGCCTCTGCGCTCTGCAGAAGAAAATTAGCTGCTGAAGCGACAGCCTGTGTTTGCATTCTAAATTCACACCATCCATCAAACCGTAATTCAGATTTGTGTACAATTATAAAAGAATAAATAAATAAATAAATAATGCTTACTCGGGGAGGAGGCGGAACGCGAAGAGGGTATCTTGGAAAATTAGGGATTGGAGCGCTTTGGGAATTTTGGAATATGCGTTTCGGAGAATTAAGCCTAGTTCTCTACATGCTAATTGATATTGATGAGATTTAGAAAGGGCTTCTTTTAGGTTTAGATTTTGGTACCTTTCTATTGAATTTGAGTCTCCCATTTGAGAGAGAGAATTTGAATGGATTTGCTTCGAAGAAGCGAGTTTGCTATTTCTCGTCTTGGCTGTGCATTTTATACGTTCGGTCCTTTCACTCGACTGGACTGGACTACAACTTAAAAATACTGAAATTGTTGTAATCTATTTTGATAGCATATTAATTTATGTAATCTATTGACCATTGATGACGTAAATTCACCAATAAATTTATATGACACTTTATCAGTACTTAATGTAAGATGAGCATTGATGTTCGAATCATTCCTATATGTATATAATCATACTGTTTGTACAAAATAATTTGACAACTTTCTTTACGAAACACCACATGGCGTCTCCCCTATTGGGGGGCGACTGAGACGGGCCAGGCGCCCCCAATAGGGGGCTGCCGGCCGCCGTGTGGCATTTTGTCAAATTCTTTGTCAATTTTTTTTTTGTAACCATTGATTTAGAAGACACACATCACATCGTTGCACAAATTCCCTCCACACAGGTGTGAATGTCATCGATGATGTACACTAAAGTGTACATTTAGCATAATTCACACACATACATTGAGATCACTACTATTTGGGTAATGCTACATGTACACACACACACTTTTACACAATCTTTTACACCTCTCTCACATGGAGGGGGGTCCACGATTATTTTATTATGTGTGGGCCCCCTTCCATGTGAGAGAGGTGTAATAAATTGTGTACACTTAACATTATTATGGGTAATGCTACATGTACACACACACTTTTACACAATCTTTTACACCTCTCTCACATGAAGGGGGGTCCACGATTATTTTATTATGTGTGGGCCCCCTTCCATGTGAGAGAGGTGTAAAAGATTGTGTAAAAAATTGTGTACACTTAACATTATTCCTACTATTTACTATTAGTAGTATTTCCTCATAATCTAATTCCGTCTATACAAAAGTCTCCCTCTCCAAAAATACATCTAAATAACTCTCTTTTTTTTTTTTAAGATTCTTGAAAATAAATCTCGTGAATAAATGATTTTTTGAAGAACATGTAATTAAAAAGTAAAGATACTAAAGTTATTTTATTAGAAGAACATGTGATTTGAAGGTGAGTTTGTGAAAAACGAGTTTTAGAGGGGGGGAAAAAAGCTTCCAGTGTGAGGGAATGTCACAACCTACAATTACCATATTTACCAATATTCTTATAAATAGTTGTGTTAAAAAAATGGAGAATATGTTCATTCTACCTGAACACAAACTATTTTACTACCATTAACATTCTTTAACTTGATTGTCTTAGTCGAGACACCTCTCCGGCATTAATTGAAATAGCAAATTTTAATGGAAAGAAATTTACACTGTGTCCGTAGATCGAATCACACACACATATATATATTTCGAATTGAAATGCAACTGATTCTTAAATTTTACGTCAATTTCAAAAATGGTTTTTCAATATAGATTGGAAACAGACTGTTAAATAAACATATTTAATTGTTTTCTGAAACAATGGATATTGAACATTTTTATAGACATTTTTAAGTGGTGACTTGCTGGATTTCCTGAACTTTTATAGATTTTTATGGAATTAATGGAATTTTTTCGTAGACTTCTTAGAATTTCATTTTACAAATTTTTATAGATTTTTGTAGAATCCGAAATTTTTTTTTGAAGACTTTTATTTAAAATAGAATTCAAGTGGGTATAGTGCAATCGTGTGGAATTCTCACATAAAATGTGGTGGTTCCTAGTTCCTACAATTCCCCTTTCCCTCCTCATGGAATAAAAAATATTTTTCAAAGAATAAAAAAATTAAATCTGTTATATATATATAATTCATTATTCTTTTGATAAAAAAATAAAAAAATAATGTTCAATATTACAATCTGTTATAGCTTTAAAGAGTAAACAAAAATCAATATATTTAAATGTAATTATAAATTAGTCTTTTTTTAATATAAAATCTTATAATTATTAATTACAAATATATTTTTTTTAATATAAAAAATGGATGAAAAAAAGAAAAAAAAGTTATATAAATCTTTAATTACATTTTTTTTCAAAGAAAATAGTGAAAAACGATAAAAGAGAGAGAAAAAAAGAAAAAAAAAAAAAAGAAATATAATCGGCAGAACAAAATAATTTGTTAATCATGGTTCTAATGTCCGTAGAAGAGAAAATGAAAGAGAAACATTAAAAGAACATTAAACTTTATTTTTTATTTTTTGTGAAAGTCTTCCAAAATCTTGAGATGAATGAAAGATAAATTTTGAGATTTTATTTTAATACTTTTTGTTTAAAACTTTGTATACTACAAACTTTTCTAAAAGTTTTTAAAAGTTATTGACAATTTGAAAACTTTGAAACTTATAGGAACTTCTAAAAAGTATTAATTGAATATATCGTGATTTTTAAAGTCTTTTTAAAACTTCATAAAAATCTCGATTGAATATACCATTTCTTTTAAAGAGTTTCAAAATTTTTTATTGAATACACCTAAATTTTTTATATCCCAAAAAGTTCTAATTGAATACATCCTCATAATTATCACTGAATACAATATACTAAACACAAGTAGAAGAGATAGAGGATAAAATCTAGGGAAAATTCCAGTCGAGGTACCAAATATTTCAGTTATTTGCGAACTTTGTCCAAATCTTTAATTTATACCACTCGCGGTATCAAATCTTTAAAAAAATAGTACCTCAAGTCCTCATTGACGGTTTCTGTCCGTTTGACCACGAAAATCGTTAATTGACTTCAAAAATAAAAAATTAGGAGGGGTAAAATGATAACTTGACAATTTTCTCATTAAATAAATTTTTTTTAAAAAAATAAAAAACCAAAAAAATAAAAATAAAAATACAAAAACCATTCTTCTTCCTACTCCACTCCACTCATCCCCATTCCCACCCACCGCCATCCTCAGCATCGTCGCCTCAAAGTCTGGCCACCACCGCCACCATCATTAGCATAATTCCTGAGAATCCAAGCATTATAAATTGTAGCCACAAAGACCCGTCGAATTGCCCAAATTGGAGCCATCAAGACATGTCGAACAACCCCAACCTCAATTGGAGCAATTAAATGATTACCCATGGTCGTACAAGTTTGCTCGAGGTTCGCTTGGCTTCAATGGGATTCAAATTTCCATTATCTTCTGATTTTTTTGAATTGAGTTTGAAGTTTGAAAATGGGTAGTTACTGGCATTCGTGATGGTGGTGGTGAGGAGATCGGTAGTGGTTGTAGATGATTTTTTGGTTTGGGATAGGATGATGGGGATTTTGTGGGTGATGGGTGGAGGTCGTGGCGATGTGTTGGTGGTGGTCGTGATTTAGGTTCCATTTTTTGGCGTCGAACGTGATTTTCTTCATTTGTGATTTACAGTGGTTGTGGTGGGAGGAGGAGGCGGTGGTGTCGACAATGTGCCGGTGGTGGTGTCTACAGTGTGTCGACGCTGTTGATGCCGGGTAGGAGAAACTGATTACAAGTTTTTGTTTTTTTAAAACAAAATTATTTAATGAGAAAATTGTCAAGTTACCATTTTACCCCTCCTAATTTTTGATTTCTGAGGTCAACTAACGATTTTTGTGGTCAAACAGACGGAAACCGTCAATGAGGACTGGAGGTGCGATTTTTTTAAATATTTGGTACCATAGATGGTACAAATTAAAGATTTGGACAAAGTCCGCAAATAACTGAAATGTTTGGTACCTCGAATTTAATTTTCCCTAAAATCTATGTAGGTTAGGTGGAGGGTTTGAGATTAACATTGATACTGGTGAAGAATCGAGGCGTTGACTGGATTCGAGGAGATGAGCAAGTTCACTTCTATGCCGAGCTTGGCTGTGTCTAAGTCAAGTCAGGTTAGACGACCTCGATTATGACTATCAGAGATATTTGACACTTTTAATTAATTAATTTTTCTCCGATTTGCAAATGTGTGCATGTATGTGATATGCATTACATATTTGACTCGATGAAGTGGTCGTTGATCATTGTGTACTTTTTTATTTGAAGGGTCCTTAGAATCAACGTTGAGAAGATGCTTGATGCTTGCAGATTTTTGTGGTAGGTCTATATTTAATAAGGTTATAGTAAAATGACCCATTTAAAAAAAAAAAAATGAATAATTTCCTTACATGTAGTTTTCAGTATGGTTTTTGTTAGGTAGATTTTCCAATGTGAGTGACATTCATTTATTTAATTGTCCACCCTGTCTTGCTATTTATTTATAATTGATTATTATTTTTCAAAACTATTAAGATGGATGTTTCAACTAAAGTTTAGTTGAGACAGCAGAATCGAACAGTGCAGCAATTCCAAGCTTGGAAGCCTGGCAATCAATCACAATCGAATGCTCGTAGACCACCTCAAGGTTATAGACCACCGCAGTCCAATACTGCAGCGGTAGATTCATTAGGTCCTTTCATCGATCCTGGTACTCTGGCTGAGCAATTTCAGAAGTTTCTCTCCTTACAGTCACAAGCTATGTCTGCTTCTGTAGGTTAGTTGCCTCATAGTTCTTCAGGTATGGCACATTCTGTTTAGGTCTTGGATTCTGGTGCTTCACATCATATGTCTCCAGATTCTTCATCTTTTGCTTCCGTGTCTCCGTCTTCTATTCTTGTCATGACTGCTGATGGCACTCCTATGCCTTTAGCAGGTGTTGGTTTTGTTGTCACACCTCACTTGTCTCTCTCTAATGTTTATCATATTCCGAAACTCACATTCGATCTTGCTTCTGTTGGTCAGTTATGTGATTCTAGTAATTTATTCACATTTTCCTTTTCTTCTTGTTATGTGCAGGATCTACAGTCTTAAAAGTTGATAGGGACAGGCCGTAGGAAGGGGGGACTATATGTTTTAGATGAGTTAAAAGTACCAGTAGCTGCTGCTGCTGCTACTAGTGTTGATTTGTCTTCTTTTCGTTTGCGTTCTTCTTCTTCTTCTAGTTTTTATTTATGGCATTCTCGCCTGGGTCATGTTTCGTCTTCTCGTTTGAGATATTTGGCTTCTACAGGGGCA